TGAGAACCACTTAAACAATTGAAACAAAGATGATTAGACCTACAGAAGGAATAACGTTCCGAGGGAGACCTAGCAGCAAATGCAGTACAAGAGTATAAAGAATGATTTTCTTTGCAAAATGTACACGTTGACGAGGGAGATTTATTAGTAAAAAATGCGGAAGTGCGGGGAGTAGAAATTGGCGGAAGCGGTTTATTAGTATTAATTGTAGTGGAGCGTTTATTAGATTGTGACGACGAGTGTGAGAAATTCAAAGTATCAAGTGCAATGCAGTGTTTGTTCAAAAAACTTGACAACTCTTTATATTTGGGAACATCTGATGATCCATGTTCTAATTCGAATCTGGTCACGATATTATGATCCAGACGTTTTAATAGCATCATTACCAGCATAAAATCCCATGAATCAGTTGGAAATTTCATTTGGTTGAGGGCAGATACATTTTCGGAAAAAGTGTCCAATAATTTCCGTAGAGCGCTTGGATTATCGGATGGAACCCTTCCAGAATTTTCCAACTCAAGCCAATGAGCCTGAGCACGTAACCGAGTGTTTGAATATCTTTCTACCAACGTCGTGTAAGCAATTTCATAATTATCGGAAATAAGAGGCAATGTACGAACAAGTGATAATGGCGCACCCTGTAGAGAGGTTAACAAATAATTAAATTTTTCGATGTCACTGATAGAAGCGTTATGATGGACGAGAGCATTGAAGAGGTCTATATAGGATGGGAAGGATTTATAATCTCCATTAAATCGAGGTAACTCGATCTTGGGTAAGTGAATATGCGAATTGTTATTCCCACTAGTAGCCATAGTCGAATTTAATTGCGGTAAACCACTAATGTTAGCATTTTCGAACAGATCCGTATATATACTTTTAATGACATAAAAATCCTCTAAGAAACCCTCGCGCACGCCATTCTCGATATCAACATCAGCGGCTGGATCAGTCAGAAGAGCCGCGACGACATTATTATGTTGTTTTTGAAATTCTTCGCGAATCGATTCTAACTCTCCGCATCGTACTTTGAACAAAGTTCGAACTGATCTGTCAGCCTTAGTACGGTCGGCCAACGTTCGGAGAATATTTATTTCATTTAGGCAGGTTTTCCTATAGGCCTGATATTTCTTTAATTTATCCATATCAAACTTCAGCGCAAATTTGATAAATCAGCGAGGAGAGAAATAGCACGTTAATCAAATGTGAAACGATAGCAGTACCAGCTGATGATTCTCGGTCGACGTTCGTGTACAACTGTGCACAGGTGAATCAATACGCATGAGCTTAATTAGGCCCGCCTCTCTGACCAGACTGACGAGCGCTATGTCCACGTCGATCGAACGCTCCGATTTCGCCGGTTTACAATTAATTCTTCACAGGTGAAAATATAAATGGCGATCAATTGGAAGACGATAAGAGAGTACCGCGCGAGAATAATTTTAATTGATAATTGAGATGGAATATTGGTATTTTGACCAATGGAAATACGTAATTAAGCAGGAAAGTGATAACTGGAATTAATTATGCGATGTTCTAGCGGTTTTGAGCCAATATGACCAAAATATGTGAAATTTTGAATTCTTCAAGAAAATTAAAAAAAAATGCAATTTTATTAAAAAATGTACCGATTATCCGGCTCGAAGGACCAATGAATGCGATTCGAAAGCCTTTGTGGTTCGAATAAATGGACTTAATCCAAAATTATGATTTTTCAAAGAAACTGCAGTAAAACGAGTTGCACTATATAACGACTTACCCTTTAGAGACTTTTCCGTGTCGTGAGATGCTACAAAAGCCTAATCCTCTAGCTTCTCAAAGGGCCCTTTTGGTCTGATAATGGTGTTAGGCGTGGAGACCGGCTCAGGTCCAAGGTTACATAGGCACATGCACAAAAGTCCACAGTTTCAAGCTGCTAATAGGGATTACGTAGCGATTTGAAGCGAGAAGCAATAAGCAATAAGCAATAAGTGTAATCTACAATCACTAATTACAGCATTTTGAATATAATGTGAAACCAACCGGGTTACACGAGAATAGAAAACTATTCCAAGACGTCGTCTCACTACGGAGTAAATCAGATCACTGATCGTACCTATTTTCGACCTAAATATCATCGGCAGATTCATGTGGGTCAGAGGTCGTTTTAGTGCAACAGGTGCGCGGACACATTTAACAATAATAATGTTAAACAAAGGCATTCCGAAACACCACATAAAGGGAAGGGGGATCAGATGTGATCAAGGGGAAAGAGCAAAATATATTCCGTCTCCCAATTGGTCACATGAATCACATGATATGTAAACACGAACGTTGCACGCATGTGCGAGCTCATAGAAATTATACAAATACACTTGGCAACACAGCAGACCCAGAAAAAATTATCACATTTTTATATGCAGCACAGAAGGGACATAGGAGATATTTTTTTAAAATTATTTTTCACATTTTTATAGCAGCACTGGAGGGACATGAAGAAATATAATTTTGTTTTTATCTCATTATAATGAGATAGCTAACTCATTATATTGAGATAAAAAAATATCTCCCTCATTTTTATGCTAAGAAAATGTAGGAGATATTTTTTTAAAAAATATCTCACCATGGCCCTTCAGAGCTTTCGTAGGACCTTGCTCCTACCGTATGCCAAAAATATTTTCAAAATCTGAATAAATGAATTTACTATGCCCAATTCAACATGACTCTTCAATAATGGTAAAAATAGGTTTATCAATTATAACGCCGCAACCGATTCCAATTTTTTTCACAGCGATGTGAAGGTGAACCTCGACGGAAATTAATTCCGAATGAACAATACTGGGTGTTCCATTTAAAAAAACTCTTCTTCGAGTTGCCCTGCTTTTATAAATCACCCAGTAATGTTGAAAATAATTTCTAAATGAGCAACTTTAGTAACTGAAAAAGTTTTTTTTCCAAAGTTTTTCTCTATAGGTTATGGCTTTCGAGATATCGAAGAATTACGCACTAAATGGACACACTGTATGAGAAAAAAGTCATTATAATGAGAAAAAAGTCAATATAATGAGAAAAAAGTTATTATAATGAGAAAAAACTCATTATAATGAGGAAAAAGTCATTATAATGAGAAAAAATTCATTATAATGAGAAAAAATTCATTATAATGAGAAAAAATTCATTTTAATGAGAAAAAACTCATTATAATGAGAAAAAAGTCATTATAATGAAAAAAAAAGTCAATTTAATGAGAAAAAAGTCATTATAATGAGAAAAAAGTCATTATAATGAGTTTCCAAAAAAAGAAAAGTGTGCGTGACACCAGGGTGCTTTCGTACAAATGACATTCACAACAACAAAAAATCAACGTGGGTTCAGTTGCCTTGGTTTTGTAATTTGTTTTTCATCCTGAAATGGAGTAAATAATCATAACAATGATATTGATCAAATAATTTATAATATTGAATTAATAGAACTGGCGGTGACGAAAATTGATCCTTATTCAATACTTGAAGAGAAAAATCAATCTTCAACAAGAAAATAATGAATTGAACAGTATACCTATCTACTATTCTGAGGATTCACGAAAAAATCATGAAAACATTATCATAACTTCCATATTATTACCTGTGATTATTACAGAATGTTAAATATTATTCCTCTATTTTTACTATTTTCACAGACGATGGCTTCTTGCAACGCAAAAAGCTGAATATTTTCAGCTTTTTGCGTCATTTCAATCACAGATTTTGCTCCACCAATCAGAATACGAAACGTAAAAAGCAAAACGTAAAAAGTTTGGTTGTGAACGCCGCTTTATTCATTGACTCTACGTCTAGCTAGACCAGTGAATCTTTCAATCGAGGTCAAGTGACGTCACCCACAACACATGATATTTCTTCCTTTATTCTTTCAATCTGAACTAACTGAAATATTTCACTAGAAATGAACTGAATCGTTCTTTCGAATGACGTTCATTATGTACAATGCTTGTCAATTGTTTCAGTTCAAGTGAGATGTGTCAGTTCACGTCAGTTAGTTCATAATGAAAGAATATTACTATTGATAAACTACGACTACTACGAGCACGGGTAAAGCGATTGCTTAGTGGTCTGTGTATCTGACTTCCACGGAGGCGATTGGGTTTCATTCCCTGCGAGGCGTCGATTTTTCGAAAAATATACTTTTCAGGAAGAATGTTAATTTTGGATAATATGAGTTGGAAGTACTTTCCTTTTTCATGCAGAAGAGATATGTTCCTTCCTCATATTACCTTAGAAGTCTTATAAACACGAATAACCTTCTGATAACCTTGAGGTTTGAAAGATTCGCTGGTCTAGCTAGACGCTTGTGTCAAGTGTCAGTAGAAGTAGAAGTAGAACTGGCATTACCAATGGAAAATGGAATTGCCAGTGGTAAAGTTTTGTTGACATAATAGAAATTTTCTAAAAACAGAAAGCTCAACTCAACACTAGAGAAGTTCAACAGTTCAGTTTTATTATACAATAAATAATATCATGCCTTCAAAGAAGAAAAAGTATAATGCAAGGTTTCCAGCTGTAAGTCCACTCTTTTCTTTTGACACAATTAAAAAATATTCAATTCTAGGGAAGAATTAAAAAAATAATGCAAACAGATGAAGAGGTTGGAAAAGTAGCACAAGCAGTACCAGTAATTATCTATATCCTTTTCATAAAATTAATTCGTTTTACCCTAATGATTTTGTGAGCAAAGGTAATATAAGTAATAAGATTTGATGCCCAAAGGAAAACAAATCAACCCATATTTTCATGATACCTGTATTCATGGTCTCCTTCATGGTTTCAAGAATTAGTAAAAGTATTCATATTTTTATCTTGAATATGTCAAACCCATTCCATTCCTGTATTAATGGTTTCAAGAATCAGTAAGAGTATTTATATTTTTATCTTGAATTAATTAAACTCATTTCAATAATTTTTTCCTTAATGAAAAATATACCTCGAACCTTGGAGCTCTTTGTTGAGTCCTTGTTAACCAAGTCTATGCAGATAACACAGGCCAGGAATGCTAAAACATTAACTCCATCCCATATGAAACAGTGTATCCTTTCTGAAAGTCGATTTGACTTCCTCAAAGACTTGGTTAAAAATGTACCAGATGCAAGTATACAAGAAGATAATGAGTATAATGCACTTTTTGAAGAGAGTCCCATTAGAGAGGTGCCCGTTGTTGTCCCCAAAAACCCTAGGGGCAGACCAAGAGAAAAACACCAGCCCCACACTGAAGTGAGTCCATCACCATCAAATGAGCAGAGTACATCCAGTAGGGCACCAGTTATTCATTATGGACCAAAAGTTGTCAAAGCTGAGAACACAAAATTGAACTTTTCAGCAAAAGAATTATTGAAAGAAGAACCAGAATTACATAAAGCAATGAAAGAGGAGCCAGAATTACACATAACTATAGCTTCAGAACAGTTGCCTGTCCCACAGCTTTTATCTGCAAGTATATCAAGTAGTTTACCATCCAGAGTTGTGTCAAGTGATAATGTGCCCCCATTGATACCAATTTCCAATTATAATCAGAATACAAATGACAGCCTATGTATTGATGAGGATTATGATAACTAGTGGTAAATTCTGATGAATATCTATGATGAAATGCCAAATTAATTTGGACTTTCTTTCAGATTTCAACCAAGGACACTATGTATAAAGGAATTTGTGTTCCAAAGGATAGCATTGCAAATAATAGCTTTTTTCTGTATTCATGATGAAGAATATTATATCACCTTATTTTTTCATAATGTGTACTACATTTGGAATACTTGGATTCTGTTAAACTTTCCAAAACAATAATGATTTCATTAGTAGTTCATATACTTGTAGGTACCTACTGAAAATCAATTTAATTTTGTAGAAAAAAATGTGACAATATGAATAACACTGTTCTATAAAAGTATGGTATACTAGACTGAAACTAATGGAAAACAAGGCTATGTTGACCAATTTTATAAGGAGCTAGTCTTCTAGTCATCTTGATAGTTACAACTACATTCTTATATGTATTTTTTGTGGCCATCAAGAAGAAGATTCAAATATCCATGAAACATAGAAATATTTTGCACATAATTCAGAAACTATTCTGCCACTAACTTTTCTGAATTACAACATTTTTGAAATCTCATGATCATTTTGGCTACAGAGTCTCAAACAATGACAGTTTACTTATATTTGGTGTCAACAAACTGTGGACATCTCAGTAGGTTATGAATCATGACACTGACATTTCAAGTATTTGATATACAACTTGTGTGATACATTCATGATACATGATGGTCATGTTGATGCCATACAAGGTGTCCTAGAAAAACATACCATAAATCTGCAGGGTGAACTAGATACCAAAATTGGCCAATTGAAATCAACTTACCTCTATACGAAAATGCAATGTTGAACCGTGAGATGGTGTTGAAGAAGAATTTTATTTACAGATTTTCTTTAATATTTTGAAATCCTTGAAATATACTGCTCATGGAAAACATGTCATACCATTTTGATAAAAATTAACGTAACTTTATTTGGAGTACGGCATTGAGCACATTTTGATATTTTGATGAATGACTAAATTAATTATCTCACTTTTTTTATCTGCAGTGTTTTTATAATTTTTTTGGTTTTCGAGATATCTAACAAAATTCATTTGGGTGCTCCTCCATACTTGTTCAAGATTATGCCGATTATCATGTTTTGCAAGTTTTCACCTGATTTGTGTTGAGATATTGACCTCAATAAACATGTTTATAAACTACTTTAGCATTATGATGATGTTGGTCATCTTCAAATTTATTTCTTTTTTCTCAAATAAAGTTTTTTTTACCAGAATTCCGGCCCGAACTGAAATTTGGAAATGACCAGCTCCCAAATCATATGAAGAGCTTGCGAATTGTTGATCATAATTATTGTGGTCAATAACTCAACACAAATGAGGTAGAAATGAGCAAAACATGATAATTCTAACACCATAAACGAGTATAGTATGGAGAATTATTATTTATTATTTATTTATTTATTCTCATATGAATACATTTACAAAGACATACATATTCTAATATTATAAAAATTCTAAAATTTTATCTACTTCACATAGGTTATTGACCTGTGTGTGAATTAGAGAAGCACCAAAATTATTTTTTTCTCCGATTGGCAGCAAATATTAATTTTGCTGACACATATCAATCAGCAAAGTATTACTTTTCCTGCCTAGGCAGCAAAGTGGTTACTTTGCTGATTGATATGTATCAGCAAAATTAATAATCCATAAATCATTTATAATTTCCTTCATATTTCATCCGAGACTTCTCCTGCAACAAATTCAACTCTATATTTTTTGCCACCTCCCTCATTTCTGGAGGTGTAAGTTCTTCCAGGTCGCTATCACTGTCCATTATATATGATAATTTAAAAAATCCGATATTTTTTCGCACAACTGTCAGAAATTTCATGAATTGTCAAACTATAATTATTATGGACTTTTCCATAGCAACCAACCATTCCAACAACTGCGATTTCTATCAAATTTTATTTTAATTGAACGCTACAGGAAAAATAAAGAGATATATATCATTATGAACAATCGAAGAAAAAATTATATGTTCAACTCGGCAGCAAATTAAGTAGATTGACTGCCTTAGCTTCAGCCTCGGCAGTCAATCTACTACTTTGCTGCCTAGTTAAACAAATAACTATTGTTATTCATCTCGAAAACCAAAGAAAATAAAAAAACTGCAGTTTGAAAAAGGTGTGATAATTGATTTTGTCATTCTTTGAAATATCAAAATGTGGTCAGTGCCGTCGTACTGCAAAAAACTTACATCAATTTTTATCAAAGAGAATGTGAAATACCTAACCCCCTGTATATTGATTAAATCGATACGACATGTTTTCCATGCACATTTATAATAGTAAATTGGCCTACTAATTTCAGAGCAGTACCTTTCAAGGATTTCGAAATATTGAAGAAAATCTGAAAATGAAATTGATCTTCATCATCCTATCACACGGCTTAACGGCGCATTTTCGTATGGACGTAAGTTGATTTCAATCGGCCTACTTTGGTCTCTAATTCACTCTGTAGACTTTATGGTACGTTGTTCTGGGACACCTTGTATAAGATGGCACGGTTATTTTATTATCGGTTTTTTGTCTCCCTCCGCTACGCGTCAGGAGGAGCCAAAATCTAATACTTTTTTCCCTTGTATATTAAATAACTTTTTTACGGCTATAACACAAAATTGCTGTTATTGTTTTTTCTGTGTTCAATACATCAATGAGGTAGTACAGTTGCATTCAAAAAAAAAGCGTACAAGTATATTACAGAGAGAAATTAACGTCATCCTATTCTGCATAAAACGGGCAATCGGGAATGATTGTTCACCAAATGTTGACAGAAAAGTTGTCATAGGTTCTCGAAAACACAAAGCATTGGCTGAGCCAGTTTTACACAACTAGAACTTGGATCCCGAAATCCTCTCTTTTTAATACTTGTGCGCTTTTTTATTGAATACGACTGTACTTTGTATGTCATCAATTTTATTTCCGTATCTGATATCAGAATGACTCCATCGTATTGATATTTCGAAAAGAAACTCATCGACCATGGATTGTCAAATTTCAAGCAATTACAGCTCTGTCAAGTTGATGAGCATTACTTGAGAGGAAACCAGATGGCTACAAAACGAAGAAATCAAAAATGTCGCTGTTATCTGTTAAAGCCGTAGAAAAATTATAGTATATAACTCGCACGGAATGCTAATTTCCCAGTCGAATGATTGCAGCATTCGCCTGGAAATCACTATCATACCGTGCTCGTTAAACAATATACTATTGATACATAATATGATATTCTAAAAGTTATGAATTGATGTTTAATACACTCTCTGGCAAAAAACCGGCCAGAAAAAAATGTTGCCAAATTGATATACCATAATATCATATCATAGATTTGGGAGTCCATCGGATATTATCTTTCGACAGGGCGCAATATTCTCGGAAATATTGACGCTCTGCCAATACCTTAGATTAGTTGCATTAGTGCAAATGACCGCACACGAAAGTGCAATTTTTCATTCATTTTGCTCAGAATAGTGATTGGCACAGATGCCGTTCGATAAAATACAGTGTTTTCACATGCCTTTGGGACTTATAATAAATATTTCGTTACCAGATGACGGTTGAAATTTACAGCCTCCTACTATGAGGTCTTGCATGGCACTAAAAAAATACATCCCATTCATTGATCATTATTCAACATAGTTGGTCCATGTGGCATTAATAATCTTCAGATTACAAAAAATGTTAATATCAGGTGAATTATTCAAGATAAAAAACACCAGAATAGAAAGTGCGTAAAAATTGAAGTTATACAGGTTCCTAATTGAATGTCAATTTTGAGGAGGCGATTCTCGGGCCCATTTTGAAAAGGAAATTTTATATGAGATACAGGGTGGCAAAGTTCTCATAAATATAGATAGTCTTTATTAATATCTGTAATGCCACACTTATTGATTTGATCTCTTGAATTATTGTTTCAGTCCGAATCACGGTTTTCACCTAAAAATAAAAATATATTTCTCTGCATTGTGATATTGTCATCAAATTTGCTTAGAAATGATTGAGAATTTCAGGAATGATTTCAATTTCGAGATTAATCAGTGGCGTACCATCAATGTTTTCCAAAATAGGTATGTGAAATTCCATACGAACGCCACTGGTGGCAACAACAAAAAAAGTGGTACACTAACTGATGCCTCTTGATACATAGTACATGTCTGCCAAATTTCATCAGAATATCTAAAGCGATATTACATATATTAATAAAAAACTTTTTATTTCTAAGAATTTTCTCACCCTGTATCTCAAAAGTTGAGACGTTTAGGACATACGTTCATATAAAATGTTCTTCTTAAAAGGGACCCAAGAATCGCCTCCTCAAATATTGACATTCAATAAGGAATCACCCTGTATAAGTAGGCACAGTGATTTTCTCTTCAAGTGTCTACAATTCATTATTTTAAACGGATCTGCAGATTTACGAAAACTTTTCACTTTTGTATAGCAGACCCAGAAAACTACATAGAAGTCATATTTTAAGTAAAAAATAATAGATCTAGTAGTAGGGGAGTCTGCTGCAAATTTCTACCGTCATCTGCTTACGAAATGATATAATGTCCCAAAGGCATTATATTTCATCGAACGGCACCTGTGCCAATCACTATCCTGGGCAAGATGATTGAAAACTGGCACTTTCCTGTGCGGTAATTTGCAGTAGTCATTGTATTTTATCGAACGGTACCGGTGTCAATCACTATCCTGAGCAAAATTATTGAAAAATTGCACTCTCCTGTGCGGTAATTCGCACTCAATTTGGCGATTTGATGACAAGATAATTTTTGCCAAACGATACCAATTGAATGGTAGATCTCAAAACGCTACCTGCTGTGCCACCCCTCGATAATTGGCTCAACAAAAATAATTTCTTTTCCTCATTTTATCAGAGTAGGCGGCGCCTAGATTTTGCCTACCCTGACGAGCCACCACTGGGCTTTTCAATTGAAAAATAAATTCAAAGT